GGAACCAAATCGATGACGTCATAGCGTGCCACTCACTACCCTACCTTTACACAAACCACACTAACTGGCAGAGCGTTAACACACTAACTACCTTAACACACTAACTGGCAGAGCGTTAACACACTAACTACCTTAACACACTAACTGGCAGAGCGTTAACACACTAACTACCTTAACACACTAACTGGCAGAGCGTTAACACATTAACTACCTGCATTTTCAGTTTGAGAAGTAAGTTTTGTTATGGGAGCCGCAGAAAGCACTAAAAAACAAAAAAAGCAGAGCCACAAAAAAGAGACTAAGGCACGGCTGAAGAAAACGCTGGAAACGATGGAAGCTAGATTACAACAGCAGCTAACCACGCTGGAGAAAGATCTTCAGCTTTCACAGGCCAACAGCACTCTCACAGAGAGACATTTATTGGAAGAGAAGAAGGCCCTCAAGGAGCAGCTAGAAGATGTTCAGTGAGATCTTAAACTCAACAATGAAGCTGCTGACCCAAACTGTCTTACAGTGCAATAACCAGGTGACCAACATGAAGTCTGAGCTAGCTATAGAAACAACCCGCTTGGAAACTGAGCGGCAACTTCGTAAAACACTGGAGGCAGAAACTGAGTCCACTCGCACCCACCTGGTTGAAGCCATAAAGGAGGCTGAGCGTTGCCTGGCAGCTCACAAAGTCACAGAGAAAGCTCTACATTCGGAGAAAGTGAAACATCAGCATTTTATAGACAAACTCACAGATGAAGCAACCAGTCAGCGTGAGACAATCAGCAGCTTGTCCCAAAAATTGGCCGCAGCAGGGACTCGTGCAAACAGCATGGAGAATAAGGTCCACCAGGTCACACAGCAGCTGACAGAGAAAGGCTTACTGCTGGAGGTCCTACAGAAGGAGAAAGAGCAGGCAGCTGTGCGTGTCAAGGAGTTAGAAACTGCTCTTCAGTCCAAGAGGGAGCTGATCAGCCATGCTAAAATTTGCGATCAGCTGAAGAGCCTGAGTCACAGCAAGGACCAGCTTGAGCAGAGTAAGAGGCAGCTGGAGGAGGAGGTACGAGTCCTGAGATATTGCATAGAGTCCATGCAGCAGTACCGTTGTGATGCAGAGGAGAGGGCCTATAAAAATATACAACAAAAACTAGAGCAGGTCAATATCCTCCAGCAGTCCCAGGAGGCAAATGATGCGCACTCTGCTGGAGCACAAGATCTTCGAGCTGGAGAGGAAACTGGGCGAGGCTCGCACGACCCAGCAGGATATCCTTAACCAGAGAGACTCCACACACACAGAGCTAGAGCGATATCGCCAACTCTACACTGATGAGATGCATCTCCGCAAATCACTGGCTGTCAAACTAGAAAGGACAGAGAGTCAACTGTCAAAAGCCAATTTCATATTGGTCTGTGAGCACAATAGGTCTCTTATCACCAGCAGCACTGCAAATAGTAGCAGGGTGGAGGACCATCTGGCTACATACGGAGTGAGTTGGATCGAAACATATCAAGGTATTTAAACAATTCCAGAGCAGAGCAGAACCCTGCCTCTACGCACTGGGAGCCGGACCACGTCAGTAGGGGGACAGACTGCTTGGAGGTACTAAAGAGGAAGTATATGATCTGACAGACCTCTGCTCATAAATAATCATAACTAGATATATTTCAGCTAAAAACAAAACAAAACAAAAGTCACACAAAAACAAAAAAAGGGCAGCACAGCGGCGCTGTGGTTAGCACTGTCACTGCACAGTAAGAAGGTTCTGGGTTTGCGCCCTGGCCGACACGGTGCCTTTCTGTGTGGAGTTTGCATGTTCTCCCTGTGCTGCATGGGTTCTCTCTGTGTGCTCCGGCTTCCTCCCACAGTCCAAAGACATGCAGTTTAGGTTGATTGGTGACTTAAATTGGCCATAGGAGTGAGTGTGGGTGTGTGTGGTTGTCTGTCTCTAAGTGCCAGCCCTGTGATAGACTGGCGACCTGTCCAGGGTGTACCCCGCCTCTTGCCTCTTCCTTAGTTGAACAATCTAGGCAAAACAAAGAGGTGTACCATCAGTACCAGGAGCTTGCTTGAGTAAATGTACTTAGTTATTTTCCAAAACTACTGTGTTGTTGGTGTGGACTGTAATATAAAAAGGTGTTTCTGTGAAAAATGACCTGGGAGAACTGGGAGATCCTTTGTCAGGAGCCTTACATATATAAGCTTTAGCTGTACTTTAGTATTTTGTCAGCATTGTACAGTAGCTGAATAAACCTTTGTGAAGTTAGGCCTACATTGCACTACCTGCAGTAATTTTTACAGTGCCTTGCGAAAGTATTCGGCCCCCTTGAACTTTGCGACCTTTTGCCACATTTCAGGCTTCAAACATAAAGATATAAAACTGTAATTTTTTGTGAAGAATCAACAACAAGTGGGACACAATCATGAAGTGGAACGAAATTTATTGGATATTTCAAACTTTTTTAACAAATAAAAAACTGAATAATTGGGCGTGCAAAATTATTCAGCCCCTTTACTTTCAGTGCAGCAAACTCTCTCCAGAAGTTCAGTGAGGATCTCTGAATGATCCAATGTTGACCTAAATGACTAATGATGATAAATAGAATCCACCTGTGTGTAATCAAGTCTCCGTATAAATGCACCTGCACTGTGATAGTCTCAGAGGTCTGTTTAAAGCGCAGAGAGCATCATGAAGAACAAGGAACACACCAGGCAGGTCCGAGATACTGTTGTGGAGAAGTTTAAAGCCGGATTTGGATACAAAAAGATTTCCCAAGCTTTAAACATCCCAAGGAGCACTGTGCAAGTGATAATATTGAAATGGAAGGAGTATCAGACCACTGCAAATCTACCAAGACCTGGCCGTCCCTCTAAACTTTCAGCTCATACAAGGAGAAGACTGATCAGAGATGCAGCCAAGAGGCCCATGATCACTCTGGATGAACTGCAGAGATCTACAGCTGAGGTGGGAGACTCTGTCCATAGGACAACAATCAGTCGTATACTGCACAAATCTGGCCTTTATGGAAGAGTGGCAAGAAGAAAGCCATTTCTTAAAGATATCCATAAAAAGTGTCGTTTAAAGTTTGCCACAAGCCACCTGGGAGACACACCAAACATGTGGAAGAAGGTGCTCTGGTCAGATGAAACCAAAATCGAACTTTTTGGCAACAATGCAAAACGTTATGTTTGGCGTAAAAGCAACACAGCTCATCACCCTGAACACACCATCCCCACTGTCAAACATGGTGGTGGCAGCATCATGGTTTGGGGCTGCTTTTCTTCAGCAGGGACAGGGAAGATGGTTAAAATTGATGGGAAGATGGATGGAGCCAAATACAGGACCATTCTGGATGGAAACCTGATGGAGTCTGCAAAAGACCTGAGACTGGGATGGAGATTTGTCTTCCAACAAGACAATGATCCAAAACATAAAGCAAAATCTACAATGGAATGGTTCACAAATAAACATATCCAGGTGTTAGAATGGCCAAGTCAAAGTCCAGACCTGAATCCAATTGAGAATCTGTGGAAAGAACTGAAAACTGCTGTTCACAAACGCTCTCTATCCAACCTCACTGAGCTCGAGCTGTTTTGCAAGGAGGAATGGGCAAAAATTTCCGTCTCTCGATGTGCAAAACTGATAGAGACATACCCCAAGTGACTTACAGCTGTAATCGCAGCAAAAGGTGGCGCTACAAAGTATTAACTTAAGGGGGCTGAATAATTTTGCACGGCCAATTTTTCAGTTTTTTATTTGTTAGAAAAGTTTGAAATATCCAATAAATTTCGTTCCACTTCATGATTGTGTCCCACTTGTTGTTGATTCTTCACAAAAAATTACAGTTTTATATCTTTATGTTTGAAGCCTGAAATGTGGCAAAAGGTCACAAAGTTCAAGGGGGCCGAATACTTTCGCAAGGCACTGTATGATGATAGATACTGACAACAGTATAGTGAGAGTGAGTGCTTTTTGCAGGTGTATAATAAATATGCTTACATGTCTTGGCATTCACAAGCAGTGGTTCACTTTGTCCTGCAGGGTAGGAAGCTGTCACCTGAAGACTGTACTCCGTCCCACTTAGTAGATTCACAAGGAGCACAGAGTTCACATCTTCGCCCACTCTTGTCTCCAATGCTGGTCCTGGAACTGAGGAAAGACCCGCATATGCACACAGTAAGCACAGCCAGAAAAGATGGAGGAAAAAAACAATGAGAAAAGTTACTGTATTTAAGAAAGTACTCTACAAACCAAATAAGCATAAACACAAATCTGAAACTGTTAGCACTGAAGTGTGCAGGGTTATGGGTATCAGCATGAGCCTTCATTACATACCAGTTAATCCTCATCTTCAACACCTTTCTCATGTAGTTAAAGTTTAAAGTGAAAATATCCTCTTTAATACTAATGAATAAGATAAGCATCCAAACAAAGTACACCAGGGTCTGAACTTAGATTGTTTTATTTTGAATTATCATTCCTGTAATACTATCTACAGTGGCTCTACACTGCAATACAAGGTCAATGATTGCTCTATCTGGACATGCATCAACAGTCTTAACATCACAACATGTGTAGGTGCATATTTAAGCTTTCACTGGACAACATTATCGTTTTAGGACCAGTCAGCTGGAAAGATTAAAGTCAGCTGGAGTGTTAGCTACAGAAGCCACCAACTAGTAAAAACAATGTTCCTCATGCTAGAAAGCTTTATTCATTTCTGTCCAAAATTAAGAACCCAAGAACTTGGAGTGATAAATGAGCCGCAATTAACAGTGTAATGTGCCGTGCAACGACAGAAAGCTCATAGCAACAGTAGGAGGTAGGATGTAGCAAACTGTAAAGTTAAAATACAGACTGTTGACAGAACCAGACTTTATTACTTGATCACTGAAAAAAGTGGCGATATGCATCTTCCCATGTAATATATTGAAAGCTTGAAAGACCAAAGCTCATCACTTTAACACAACCAGTCTGTATATGGTTTCTAGGTTGCAAGCAGACAACGAAATAAAGCTGAGGCACTCTTACAGATATGTGGTAGGTGGGCAAGATCTTGGCATTACATTCTTCTACACATACACAAACCTACTGTACACATGCATGCACCAGCCCATACCCAGAGCCTTTTTAAATTCTGTCAGCTTCCATTCCTTGCTGTACTCAAAGAAATTCACAAGCACACACACACACTCATTCCCACCCATGCCACTAAAATAAAACAAAGATATAATAACAAACTTTGTTAATACAGGGCTTCCTAACAGCTGTTACAAAGTTTTATAAAATAACGATCCTCCATACAGTACATACAATGAAGGGCTAAATAAAAAAATCAACAAAAGCAATACAAGGAAAAGAAAACACTGTCAGGAAACTTTGTGTACATTTCTAAGTGTCGCTATGACTGTATGTTTGTGGAGTTGAGTGGGTAATTTATGTATTTGCTACATTAGGTGGGTTTATGTTTACATCACAGACACTGCAGCTGTACTGTATATACGTGTGTGTGGGTGTGTAGGAATTTGCACATGCACGCACTTCTCCTGGCCCCATGTCCCAAGATTCTCACAGAGAAAACAGCAGCCTGCTCAAATGCATTTCCCTTCAACTTACTTCCTAAAATCAAATTAATGCAATGTCTGCCTAAAGTTGGGTCCTCAGAGGCAGACGAATTATAGAGGACTAAAAACAGGCATGGAAACTGGAGCCTTGTCTTGTGAGGCTGAAACAATTAGCACTAGAGAAGCGGCAGGACAGTGAAAAGGAGCTTTCAATGATGCTTCCAGACAATATATAAATGAGGAAGGGTAATGTATTATTTTAGCTCTGCATCACTAACATTTTCCTTAAAACCTTAATTAAGCTTCATCTGTGCTTGACAACAGTTGTCTAACTGTGCTTATACTATAAATGAAGATGTAGTGGGCATGAATGGAAACACAGAAGTTAAGCTGTGTCTCTCTAACAAATACCATCACAAAAAAGAGCCCACAATCAACAAGAGATCTAATTCTAAAATCTCTACATTTTACAGGTCAACCCCGAGGGCCTCTTTTTGGGATTAATGCTTGATCATACAATTTGTGTTAGGATTAGCATTATATTTCTCCCTCTCAGTGTGTTGTGTGTGTAGTGTACCATTAATGGGTTGGTAGACGATCCTGTAACCCACTGTAGGAAACCGAGGTGGATCCCAGGTGACCCTGAAGCGGTTATACCACTCCTCTGACACGCGGAGGTTGCCAGGAGAAAAGAGGGGTACTATCACAACACAGGACAAAATCAAAATGAGTAAACAGACTTTTAATAAAAATAAAAAAATAAGCATGACAAAAACACTGTGGGGTGTCTTCATTTGTTCCATTTGTATACAATTTAAGGATGGGGTATCACTGAAACATTTTCAATACTACTGCCAAGATAACAACTTGAGTTTACCAAAATTACTGCTGTCTTATGTACTTGCGTGAATTATGTTTCATGCCTTAATGCAAACAGTCAAACAAGAACACGCATGTAGAATTCTAAAACTGGCATAATTATGATTTAAATCAGGACAGAACATTAAATCAGATCAGGTAGCCGACACCACCCTTTGGTGCTTTTTGACATTCAGATGTACTGAGATTTGATGTCCAGTTTTAATATGATTTATGAATTTTGTCAAGTTATGGCAAAGATTATAGTTTGCCGACATCTTTTAAGAAACTTAATTATAAAATACAGTATGGTAACATTGCAAATTTGTAGGTTTTTTTTGTCCCCCAGACACTGCCGGGAGGAGGAATTCAGTTTCTTCCCTAAAAACTTTTAATTCATGTCTGGTACATGAAGTACATGTATCTTGGCTCCAATTTATCACCATGCTTCTTCCCAAGCTGAGAAGCTATAGTAGCCTACCTTAAAAAACATTTCTTCTGACATTTAGCTTCCCTGTATACCGAGGATCCAGTCACTACTGTTCATGAGAGGAAATCACGAGGATGGCTGAGAAAATCAATTAAAGCTGAGCACAATAATTTCATTTTCCTATTAATGAAAGGAACTGCTGTAATTATGAATGGCCTTCATTAAGACAATTAAGAAAGCATCAGCATTTGCCACCAATTTAATTTATAATCTTGTTCAAGAAAATAAAAATAAAACAAAGCACAAAATAATTAAAGCAAATGATTATTCTGCTTGCTAAAGTAAAATTCATTTTCATTAGCAGTCATTAACTTCCAGCTTTGTCAAATATGTTCTCCTAAACTACAAGCTGTATCTTTGGGTAATGAAAACTGAGGTGACCCTAGTGGTTAGTAACTCAGAAGGGTGTGCATGTGTGGATGTTTGTGTATATGTTGGAGGTTTGTAAGACTTGCATGTGGCTCCCAACGCAGAGACACTGATGCCATCATCTCCATCTGTGTACACTGGTGTGACTGTGACTTTGTACTGAGTGTCTGACAGCAGAGGCTGAAGCACTGCTCTCCTCTGACCACCAGGAACTAAAACCTAGACACACACAAACACGTATACACATTCAGGCCACATCTGAAGAAGTGAGAGTGTACAGAGAGTTTTAAAGCAATGATTACTTTTGATCACTTGGGATTAACCGGCACATAGGCAAAATGGCAGGGGGCATACAAATCAGAAACACATGCAAGCATAAACACACACACCAGGATACATGCACCATATAGCAGACAACAATCAAAATCTGTTGCTCTTCTGCTGGCTAAGAGGGACATTTGGAGGGAAAGATTAAGGCCATGCTTAATTAGGTGAAACAAAGTGCCTGCAAAATGCTACATACACCTTAAGGGATTTGAACCACAGCTGTTCAAGGATTCTGTTCACCTCAGCTAAGTCAATAAAGTCAGAGTCCAAGGCAGAAAAGAGCTAATAAAAACCTGTTACTGCCAGGTTTTCATTTGTACAACCCCAAATCAGAAAAAGCTGGGACAGTATGTAAAATCAGAATTAAAGCTGAAAATAATTATGTGTAAATCATCTGTGTCCTGTATTACATTGAAAACAATACAGCAGCACATTATTTGATTTGATACCGCATCAGTTCTATTCTTTGTTCAAAATAAACACTCATTTCAATTCTGGCAATCCTTGGCCCATCTTCACTCCTAAAGGGCTCTGTCTTTCCTGGATGCCACTGCTTTACCAAATCATGATTGCAATCACCCGCTGACATCAAATGGACTCATCATTTCATTGTTTTACCTCATTACTGGCCCTGAAATGCAACCGTCCCAACTTTTTTTGGAATGTGGTGCAGGCAGAATTGGAGTGAGTGAGTGTTTTGAACAAAGAATAAAATTGGTGAGAAATCACATCAAATAATGTGCTGCTGTATTGTTTTCAATGTAATACAGGATATAGATGATGTACAACTCACTGCAGCTTCAACTTAGATTTTACATACCATCCCAACTTTTTCTGATTTGGGCTTGTAGGTGCAAGTTCGTTCTTTCTCTGCTTCCTCGTTGAAGTTCTAAATGTTTTTCCTTTATACAAAAAGGTAGTTTCTTATCAAGAGGTTAAAAAAAATAACAAAAAAACCTATACTGCCATACAAATATAAGACTGGTACAATGACTGAGCAAAAGCTAGCGAATGACCTAGATATTGCCATTTACACTGAGAATGTTTTGTGAACTAATAACTGTAAATTATTTTATAGCCTTTACAAAAACATCACAGTGAAATGCTGAAATATGTTTTTTTCAGTCATCTGTCCAAAACTAAAGCAAACATCCCCCCACTCCTTATTTAATGGATTTTCCCATTTCTAAACATTATTTGATTTGCACATGATTCTTCCAGTGTTTATCTGTCTTTGACACTGTCTGCTTTCCAAAACACAACTTAAACAACAGCAGCGAGATTAACTTTTCTTTATTTTGCTAATGGATCTGATCCCCAGCCAAATGTTAGCCTTTGTGTGTGTGTGTGTGTGTGTGTGTGTGTGTGTGTGTGTGTGTGAGAAACAGAGGGGCTGAGAGAGAGAGAGAGACTGAAACATGTGTTACGGTGCAGTAAGACCAGGTGAAGCTGTCATAGCACATTATAAGGAGCTGTCCACTCCAACTGTGGTGCTGAAACTGACTAGCATCAAAGCAGGAAGGCGCACACAAAAACATTTTTAAATACATTTACACACAACCAGCACCTTAATAAACACAGCCAAGGTTATGTTAACCAAATATTTTCCATCAGTGATGGAATTTCTTTTAATACTGAAACAAATCTGAAGGTCATCAGTCATTTTGACAGATTAGAACACCGAAGGCAATTTATCCTAACCTAACTTAAAGAAAGGCTAGTAAAAGCCCAAAAGTTGCTATGGCACTGAAAAATGAGGTGAAAAAACAGGAAGCAACCTCTTCAATGCACCTCGCTATCTGGAAGCTGACAGTGCGTTTACGAGCCACTGACTGGAGGCAACAGAGAGCGTCTGTGACCACTATGGGTGCAGATGAGCTTCTGGTACAGAAGGAGCGCATGCAGCAGATTCCTCCTGGTGAAGTGAGTGCATCAGGATCAGGAAATCTCACATTCAGAGGAATATCTAATCAGTTCCAGAGAGAAATGTTCCTGACTTCAAAACTTTGGCTGTAATGGATCTGGCAAATCCGGTCTCCAGTGAGGCAGCAGAGCACAGTTTCAGCTTTCAGATCAAAATTATAATGGCTGTGTGAAACCTAGTGACAGTCATCTCTGCAGCAGGCTGTGCTACAGCAGGTCAGCTGAGTTCAATTCAGTTAGCCTACCTTCATGAAGATGAGCTGTTCATATTTTAATGTCAATTGTCAAATTTTTTAAAACTGCACTCTTCATATCTGCTTCTTTACACACAATGACCGTAGTGTTTTAGTAGCCTCCACTGTCACTACTGAAAAAATTCATCTGCTTCATGTGGTTCTGACATGAAAAGTGGCTGCACATAAGCTTTTCTTTACAGTAATTATTAAAAATGAACAAAAAGCTATTAAATGTCCTATCATTTACCAATGAAAATTAAATTGACAGGCAAAAACAAATGATGACATTTTTATGACCATGTCCATCAAAATGACAGACAACAAGAAAGTGTAACATGACCTCTGAAACACTTGTCCATGTCTTTTGGGTGCTGAGGGTGGGGGAGGGTGGCCTGATACAATGCTCATACATCAGAACTCATGAGTCACGATTAATACTGTGCAGGACTAAAATAAAATAAAAACATAAGGTCTAAACAACTTCAAAAACAGTGATAATCTAATTAAAACTTAAAAAAAGAAGGCCAGTTATTTTCTATATTAACAGTATTTTAAATGCTCCCCATTCAAAGACTAAAACCAAAAACGAACTGCCTCTACTCACGATTAATGTCTTGGTCAGAACTGAATTATTTCATTCATCTGTGTCACAGACCTGTCCCATAAAACACATCAGGGAAACACTCGGCTGCTCTGGGTGACGTTTACTCATTACAGAACACCAGACCCTGATGTTTTTTTTAACCCTGTAAAGCCCAACATATCAAAAAATTGGAATTGAGATGTTTATTAAACCTTTTAACAAAATCCAAAATATAATTCATGATTTGAAATTCAAGATTCACGATTTTTATTTGCCATATATGCATAGGCAGACAGTCCAGGCATATAGGAATAGAGGTGCCATATTATTTAGATTATTTCTATTTCTTTTGTATCACATTTGATACATGGGGCATTTTTGGTGATTTTTTTTTTTGCTCAGAAGCCTCACATATCAAATATGATACAAATGGTTTTATAGGGTTAAACATGTTGCCCCAAAGGCTCCGAACGGCCATAACTTTATACAGCATAAGTAAGCAAGCGTCAAAGGCCCATGCACGAGATCTCAGGATATGCTTAACAAATAATAGGGCCTGGTGTTTCATGAGAAAATATGTCAACCAGTGCAGCTGTGTGTTTCCCTGATATGTTTTTGTTTTTGAACATCAATGGAGGTTTATGACACAGATGAATAAAATAATCCAGCTCTGACAGACTGACATACATCAACAGTGAGTAGAGGCAAGTCACTGTCGGTTTTAGTCTGTGTGGGTTGAAAATACTGTTAATACTGAAAATGACTGACCCTGTTCTTTAACAAAACTTGAGATCCAAAATGATACATAAACTAATGATACATATTCTACAATCTAGTAAGTCAGTCACTTTCAAAGATGCCAAGTTTGTCAGCTGTAGGCAGCTCTCAGTGCAGTTTCCCATAACAAGGGTTTGGCCTTGGGGAATGTCTAAAGTACAGTCACATAAGAATTCAATGTCTTCCCCATATATTTTTAGACAAGGTTGTGTAAAAAATAAATAAATAAATAAATTAAAACCTGCAGATGTCCCAGTCAATCACGTACAGGAATTACTGACAGTTCATCTAAATACTGCACAGTCTGCACATGCCCTCCTTAGGACACATTCAAACTTTCAGAAAGAGGCACAACCCTCATCTCTCAGTCAGTAAACAGGTTTAAGCCTTTCTCTCATTTTGCTTAGCTATTGTTTCTTTTTCCACTTTTTCTTTTGCTCTTTTCTCTGCTGCCCTCCATCTCAGCTCCCAGTGAGGTAAATGGCTGCTGAAAAGATAATGGAATGTCTTCCTGTTTGGCCTGGCCTCTCCATCTTCAACCACCCTGACACCACATAGGGAAATTAAGGGGGGGGGGGGGGAAAA